GCGGGCGTGCCGCGCCCCCCCGGCCCCTTCTCCCCCCGGCTGGGGGCGGGGGGGGGGGGGGAAGAAAAAGGAACTCAGAGTGACGGAGACACGGGCTGGGGGCTGCCCAGCACCACCCACACAAATGCACAGCGGCACGGGCAGAGACACGCTTGCAACCAACCCCTTTGCACCCCATGCATGGGGTCTGGCAGCCTCAGGGGGAGAGGAGCCCCCCCCCAAGCCTCCCCGTCGCCCGAGGATGCTCACCGGGTCGGCAGTGCCTGTAGTAATCCTCGCAGCAGTTGTGGTACCTCTCGCACTCGGCGTTGCAGTGGCACTCGTCTTCCTTGCTGTAGGGCTCCTCGCAGCGTCCCCTGCAGGAGTCGGGGGCCGTGTACAGGTCTTTGGGAGACAGAAACAACAGCGTGGTCCGCGGGACGGACTGACCACCCTGCCCCATCCAGCCCACGACCTGGGACCATCCTTCCTTCTGTCCACGCTCCCCTCCTGGGAGAGCCTGAAGGACCAGGCTCCTACCCTGGAGCTGTTTGGGATCCTTTGTCAGCGTTTAGGGGTGGCATTTTGACCGGCTGAATCCTTGGGATGCACATCGCCATGGGTCACTCCTCCTCAGCCGTGGACGCCCACCACGTCAGGGCCACTTCACACCAGGAAACACGTTCTTGGGTCCCCACCATTAATTGCTCCTTCTGATTCACCCTTTTAATGCCAGGCTTAGCAAGAGTGCCCCGGGTCGCGCCGTCTCCAGGCCGGAGGAGGAGTGCCACATTCCAGACATCCTTATTTGCAACCCGACCGTCGCTCTTTCTGCAATGCTGGGAAAACTGGGAACTCCTTCCCGAGCTATTTATATGATAAATGTGTCATTGAGCATGTGTTTTATTACGCATGGTGGCAAAGCTAAAAATAATGCAGCAACTCAAGCTGTGCTTTGAATAGGGCAAGTGCCACATCTCAGATGGACGATGGACATTTGCTGTCGAGCAAAGAGGGGCTGTAGGAGACCAAGATGTTGGGTTTGTACTAGGAGACAGCCCAGAGACTGTGAAATTAGGGAGGGTGCCTTATCTTCTGTGCTGCCCATCAGCTCCTGACAGGAGGAACGGGACAGCAGGCAGCCCGGGCATGGCTTTCTCGGCATCCCTTTACTCCAGCCAGGAAGGTGACCATCTCCAAGGACGTGCCGAGAAGCCACGTCCCAACCAAGCCGCCAGCCTGCAAAGCGATCCTTGGAGGAAAGGGTGGTGCTTTCCCTTGCAAACCTGCAATCACGCCACATCTTAAACACCTCTGGGTTGCCTGCCTTGAACTCCAGCAGGTGAAACATGCCCTCAGGGCAAACCCTGATACAGCAGCGAAGAGAGTGACCTCCAAGTGTCACGCTTGCTGGCTTCTCTCTGCACCTGCGTTGCTTGCTCTGTTGTCTTCCATTTTACCCAAATTATTTGTGCTTTTCAGAATCACGTAATCGAGGTCCCACATGTGCTGATGAGAGAGGAAGAACCTCTTCGCCCCACCAGCCAACCCAGCCCAGGCTGGCTGACCGTGCTGCAAGGGCACACTGCTGACTCCCGCTTGCCTTCTCGCCTCCAGGTCCTTTTCCGCAAATCCACTTTATAGCAAGAGGGGTGTTAGTAGGAAGGGGTTGCTTGAGACGCTCCTGGAGGCCATCTGCCCTTGGTGCTACTTTAGTCCCACCTTTGCTCATACTGATGCAGGAAGAACTGGGAAGGGCTGCAGAGGGAAGGGGCACCCGTGGTTTGGGTGGAGTGATGCTCGTGGTGTCCAGACACCCCAGTCTCACCAGTCCACGCAGCAGAGCAGCCAGGTCTGGAGCTCTGATGCAGTCGGTAGAAGTGATCCCTGTCCCCAGGACAGCACCCCTCTCGCTCCCAGAGCGGCAGTCGGGATAAGTCAGCCTGAATCACCCATCCAGGCTCATTTTCCAGCAGCAGTCCCGGAGGGATTGTGCAAGGCGGGAACTACCCACACATAAGTCACCGCTGAGATGTTCCCGGTGCTGGGGCACGTGCTGCCAGCGCATGTCACAGCAAAACACCAATACTGGGGTGTGCAGTGACTCAGCCAAGGCCGGGAGCCTTGCAGAGACCTCGGGGGAGTGAGCTCAGCATCGTCCCATTTCCCGCGGGGCTCAGCTGCAGGGTGCCGAGGCTTCTCCCCGCACGGGGAACGTGAGCAGGGCAGGGGGGACGGCTGCAGGAGGGTGTTTGCTCCTCCTCACACAGGCATGAACCTAAATAGCTGCAGAGCAGTCGGCCACTCGTGATGGTCAAGTTCAGAGGGGCTGCTGGAGCTTTTGGGGAGAGAAGGGCTGCTGGGAGAGCTGGCAACGCTGCAGCCAAGGGACGGTGGCTGGAGCAGAAGGACACGGCCAGCAGTGCTCAGCACAGCGCATCCACACTCAACTACTCAGTCAATATTTGGCTGGTCCAGCCAGCAGATATTTTCTGGCAGCACAAAGCCAGACAAATATTTCTTTCTCACTTTTAGCCCTTCAGCCAGATCCATCCCTCCCCGAGCACAGCTTTTTTGACGAGAACAAACTCATTTTCGTTTCCGCCAAAAAAGTTTTGACTGACAAAACAGGGGCTATTTCCTGAGCAGCTCCATTCACCAAGGTGAGGGGAAATGTCTGAGACATGACGGAGCCCTCCCAGCAGCTCCCAGCTCGGTTTAGTACATGAACATGAGTTACGGCTCGTGTCAGAGCAGCGTCTGCGAGTCCCTGGCCTGACTCAAGACCTCGCTGCGCTGTGCAAACACAGACCGAAGATCAACCCTGCCTCTAAAAGGGCCCATTTGAAGGACAAATTAACTTGCAACAAAAGAGCTATTGGTAGACTGAGCTCCCCAAATATTTAGTTACATGCTCCTGGCCCCCGAAACCACATATAACCCTGGGTGCAAGCTCCCTGTGAGGTAATCAGGCAAAATCTCCCACCACTGTCCTGCCTAGCCGAGGAGAAGCAAAGTTACTACGCGGTGGAGGTGTTACAGCTCAGACGGGTCCATCAGGGCGATGCTCTGATAGCTCTGGTCCAAAGCGTGTGCCAAGGACAGACCACGACACGAGCCAGGAAGGCTGCCCAGCTTCCCAGCCATGGTAAGCCCAGTTATTCCTTCAAGCAAGAACAACTTAGCACTTGCGTTAAACGAGATGAGACCATGGCAAATCCTCCTGCTTTCAGGGCAACCCAATGGCTGGTTTGCAGCAGAAGCAGCTCCTCTTCTGCACCGGCCTTGCGAAACTCCTCACCATTAATCCTGAGGGGAGTCATCCGCTGCTGAAGCATCAGATACAGCCCTCTGGCAGCGTCAGAAGTGACGAAACTCCCTTCTTGCAAATAGATCACAGTTCACATTTTGTGCAAGAAGATGGCGATGAAGGCACCTAGTCACGTGCAGGATCCCGGTCAACTGGGAGTCAAAACCTGATGCCCACAAGCCACTCCTTGTTGCAGCATCTGCCTTAAAGACAGAGCTATTCTTTATCATCTCTCCAAGCCTGTCTCCTCTCATAACAACCGCGGAGTCGTGAAGGGCAAAACACCCGAGTTCACGTTGCATTTTCCATTGCATCTGACTGGCTCCTCCGCTCACCTCCAGCGGCCACGGGGGGGATTGTGGGTAAGGTATTAGAAAAATATTTCCCTTCGTCCTCGCCCGGTGTGGGAGGATGAAGGAGCCAGAGGAAGGCAGGCTTACGTGATGAAAGCACAGCAAGATGCACCAGGAAGCAACTGGTGGACAAGGCTGAAGACCAGGGGAAGTCTCAACCCATCAAAGGGAAGGATAAACCACCCTCATCACCAGCTGAGTCCCCCAGAGCTCGAGGAAGCCCTCCAGCATGAAAACACCCCTCACTTTTTCCCCTGTGAAGCTCTGCTGGATCCAACCTCGCAAGGAACCAGCTGCACCAGTACAGCCGAGCTCCTGGCTTACGGCAGCACCCTCAGCACCGTCTGCTTTCAACCCATTGTTGGCCCCTTCCCATCGGGTGCACCAGCTGGTTTAGCCCCTCTGCCAAAGCAAGGCTCCATTACTCACGGCCAGACACGCAGCCCAGGGCTATTCCTGCCCCGACAAGGAGGATCCAGGTCTTCATCGTCCCGTAGACGGCAGGCTGGGTGTTTCGGAGCGTCCCGGAGAGCAGGTTGGGAATGACGGTGCTCCCCGGTGCTCCCTGCTATATGTGGGGCCCCTGGGAGCGTGGAGGGGAGGGAGGAGTGTGATGCCACTGAGGACTTCACAGGCAGGCTGCACCCAAACTTTGCCAAAACTCATTATGTGCACAGCTTAATTATAGGCTGCCCGGAGTGGGAGGAGGGCTGGTAAATCCAGTATCCCAGTATTGCTCCACTCCTCACGTGCACGGCCCCTGCGGGGTGATTGAGGAGCACGGGGAAAGCTTCTCAGTGGGGTCTTTGCCCACCCAGGGCTCAGCAAGTCCATTAGAGATGCGAGCTGGCGATCAGTGCCACAGCTTGGTCCCTCAGTGTGCCACATGTTCCCGCGCAACTGGTGCTAACTGGGAGCAACTTTCTACTCCCCAGTTAATTGGAGGTAGCGACCTCTCCTTCCTCAGCTGCTCTCTCTGGAGGCTGTGCCCCCCTTACGCCACAGACCAGCCTCGGTTGAAGCCTCCACGTCCTCCAGCAGCACAAAGAAACCCTGAGACATAACCACAAGCCAGGCTTCAGCATCAAGGCTGCTCAGGGAGCAGGTTTTGTGGACTATCCCAGTGTGGTCTCACTCCTGAGGCAAGCCCAGAGCTGGTCCATCCCCACCCTGCGTGGGGCTGCCCTTCTCCAGGGAGCCTCCACGGCCCCGGGTGACGCCGAGGGGGAGCTCAGCCCATGCCTGGCGTGGTCACCAGGCTCTTCCCTGCCCACAGCAGGGCCAGCTCAGGCTCAGTTCAGTGCATCCCAGTGGAAGATGTTCCCAGATGGTGGGTGTTTTGGCAGGAGAGACAACTTCCCATGCTACTGCAATCTTGGGGGGGACCCTGCTCCCACCGGTTCCCAGCCTGGAGCGTGTCGTACGTGCTGACCGGTACACCCAAAGGCATGGGAGTGATCAGACTGGAACAGGCCAGCACCCATCGTGCCTCCAAGGGCATCTTCAAGCTGCCTCGGAACCGTGGCACAGCCTCCCTGTTTTCAAAGGGGCATCGCAATCGTCCCTGAGCCGATCTCCATCCGCAACCCTCCGCTGCCCAGCTCAGCCGCTCATGGGGCTGCACTCAAAACCACATCGGGAAAATAATCCAGACCTAACTCACCATCCTTCTGGAGGCGGGTTTAAAAACTGCTATCTTCCCCTTCTGGTCTGGAGAGCGGTGCACCGAGGCGAGCAGGAAGGAACCTCCTCAACCCGTTTTGCTGCTGGAGGATGCAGGGATCTTCCACACATCTCCCTGTCTCTTCCCAGCCATGGTCCCTCAAGGGCTGGCACGGGCTGACCTCAACTCATCCATCAGGGAGCATGGTTGTATTGTCCGCAAGCGTCGCCCTTCCTTGTCTTTCCAGGAAAATAATAAAGAGACCAACAGCGCGTGTTGGTGCTGCACCTGAGGGCCCATCACAGGCACCGGCTGGTTTCTGGCTTCTCCTCACACAGTGACGTGGTTTCTCAGGAAGCCTCGTCACAAGCCTTGCCCAAAGCCCAAAGGATTTATACCAGCCGCTTCTCCGCCTCCTCGCCGGTGCGCTGCGACAGACCCGGGAACGGCCCAGTGCTGGCTGGTCCCTTGTGGTCCGTGTCCCTCTGGTTTGGCCAGGTGTTTGCCTGGGAAGACGCCCCAGCCGGAGGCTCCTGGAGCTTCTGTAACCAGCCCGGGCTCTCCCCGGGCTGCCTGCCGCAGCGGCTGGCCGGCGGCCCCCCCCCCCGCGCGTTCCTCTCCCCAAGAAAGCCGCAGGTCCGGGGCAGGGTTTCCCCACCGAGGCGGGGATCGCTCCCTGTGCATCTCCACCTCGGCAGGTGATGACTGATCTCCCAACACCACCTGAGCCAAGGGGAGGCAATTTCTAACCTCCCACAGCGGAGCGGGCAGTAGCTGCCTGCAATTCATCCTGCCGACACAGCAGCATTGCAACAGCCTTATTAGCTGGCACAGGAGAGCAGTGTTTGGTGTAATAAGGACCAGGTTTGGCTTCTTTCTCACCCCTCAGTCATTTCCTACCCTCCACCCTGGGCTGGTGACCCTGCTGACCTGTCCTCCCTGAGAGCAGCCTTGTTTTTTCTGACATCTTTGTGTCGCTCTGTGCTGAGGCTGCTCTTCGAGTCTATCAGCTGGCTCGTGCACAAGCCAACCTTTCCCCAACTCCAGGCTGTGCCTCGAGCCCTTGCTGGGGGTGAGGAGCTCACATCAGAGGGGTTGGACGTTGGGTGGATGGCTGCAGTCATCATGCATCCGTCTTGCTCCTCTGAGATGCCCAGGAAGAGCAGAAGCCGCAGCCCCTGGAGATGAAGCGAGTCCCACAGCGCTCGATGAGGGAGCTGGACGCCCACCATGGAGAAGGATGGAGGTGGAGCCCACCTCTTCTTGCACAAGGTTGCTTTCCCCGCCTCACCGTGGAAGATGATGCCTTTTGCCTTGGGCTTAACTGGGAGCACCAGCTCCCCCAGCAAAGGCGTGGGAACAGCGTGTTTGTCCCCGTTTTCTCAGCCACGCTTTCCAGAAGCTGGTGGCCGGGTGTAAGCACTCCCCACCTGCCGTCCTCGCACACCCCCATGGTCCAGCACATCTTGTTCCCACCTCTACCTTCCAGCAGTGCCGGACCTGCAGGCACCAAAGCCCTCCGAGCTCCTGGGGACAACCTGCTTCTCCTCGCCCAGTCTCACGGTTTGCAGGTCCAGGGACAAGAGCAGGTAGGTGTGCGCTGGGCCACGGTCCAGAGTCAGTCACTGGCGACAGAAGGACAGCATCACCGGCTGGCGCCGAACCCCGGGGCCCCAATCCGGGCGCTCGCCCATGATGGGTGCTGCAGGAGGGCGGTGGGTCAAGCGCCCCAGGGCTGGCTCCACGGCGCTCGTGCATTAGAGCCGAGGAGACAGGACTTTCCCACGCGCTGAGCCCGTGGCAGCCAGCCCCGACCCCGGCCCCGGGGATGCAGGAGGGGAAGCCGGGAGTCCGGGCAGCCACGCTTGCTCCTGTGCCCAGCAATGCTGTTAGCTCTCGCCCCTTGCATTACACCCTCGTCCAGACCCCGGCTTTACCCATGGTCTTGCTCGAGGGGGCAGGCATCCAGCCTCTTATTTTTCCACGGTCCAGTGTTTTCTACAAGCAGGGCTGCCCGACGCCGAGCTTCATCCCCATCCCCTCCTGCCATCCTCCTCTCCACATCCCCCTAGACTCATTGCCCTTTTCCAGAATATTTTTCCAGGTTTTCCCTCACCCTTGGGACATCACGGGGCTTCTGCAGCTCCATGGGAATTGCTGGTGGGGCTGGACCTTCACGCTCGTGCTCCTAGGGGAAGCACAGCTTGTGGAGGTTACGGGCTTGTGGGTTGTGGGGGTGCATGGGCCGTGCTGAGCTCCCCAACGGGATGCTCTTCACAGCCTGCACCGGGAAAACCACACCAGGGTTAACTTTTCCACTCAAGTGGAGATTTCTCCAGCCAAGCCAGCCGGCCGGACCAGCATCCCGCCTGCAGCCGAGGAAGGGAAAGCCCCGAGACACATCCATCGACCCGGCCAGCCAACCTGCAGACCCCAGGTAATCTGCAGGCCCAGAAACATCTGGAAAACGTGCAACTCTGGTTTAACCCTTCCTTCCCCACACATGAGATTTTTCATTTCAAGGCTTCTTTGGTCCTTCAGGGCAAACATCCTGGGAAAGGTGACTGTGGGGGGTGTGGGCTGCCCGATTTGGGTCCAGATGCCAAGGAATTGCCATCGCCTCTCTGCGTTGCCCTGGCTTGCCTGGACACGCATGCTGCTGGGATCATGCATGGGGCTGGTGTTAGAAACCTGGGAGATGCCAGGTGTCAAAACCTGGTCCCCATCGAGCACGGCCACCCGCTGCCTTGCAGAGAACCAGAAAGCCAAACTTTGCATTGGGGGGGACCCGGGGATCCTGGGATGGATGCGGTTCTGCGAGCTCCAAGGAACCCGCATCCCATCTCGTAGCTGGCTGCATTGCTTGAAACATTATTTAGGTGTGATGGGGACTTTTATTTTACGCAACCCATTCATCTGCATGGCGAGATTGAAAAGAGCAATTAATGCAGCGGTGCTCTGGTCCCTTGTAGCCCAGCTGTACTTGGGGCAAGGCTGGGGGGGGCTTTGGCTTGCGGCTCCGTGCTGTGGCTCCACGGTGTCCCGGCTGGGGCACACACCTGCCAGGGACTGCGAGCCTCCTCCGCGCTGGTACCCTGCAAATGTGGGAGCTTTTAGGGGCTGTGATCTCCCCTGAACCCCGCAGCTTCATCCAGGCCTGCTCAGTGTTGGGAAGGTCATTGCTAAAACTGCTCCGTGCGCGTACAGAGTTGCTCTGGGGGGAGGGATGGGGGTCCTCACCCCTGGGGTCTGTCAGCTCTGCCTCCTTCAAAGACATCTCCCCCAGACCCCTGCTCGTGGCCCAGCAGCAACTGGTCATGGGTTGGGAACGGCCAGAGCAGATCACCATCTCCAGCACGAGGCCACCACATTCCTTCCATGACGGATGCTGTCCTGCCTCCGCGCCATGGCTGTACGTGGCTACTCCTGCCCTCATCTATGTGGGGGAAACTGAGGCACGGAGAAGGCTGTGATTAGCCCAAGGTTTGGCAGCATGGGCTGGTTTAAGCCCCAACAGTACTGGGGGGGATCAAGATACTTTCCCCATGGCTGCTGGGGTCGTGCAGGTCCCAGAGGTGGGGACAGGGGTCGCAGCCAGCACCTCCCATGGGACACACAGGACAGAGGGAAGGGCAAGTCCCCTCTAGGGCTGCCCCCAGGATCCGTGGGGCAGCACAGCAGCACGAGCCAGACCCTGAGGTCAGCCTGGGTGTCTGCATGCCGATGGAGACAGACGTGGTGTTCCCTGCTCATAGGGATGCTCTGGCTTGAGTCCCTCCAGGAGGAAGGGGCATCTTCCAGCCCGGCACCTCCAGGGCGGGCAGCGTCGGGGGGCAGCCAGGGCTCCTTCCTTCCCCCCCTGGCCAGTGCAGGGAGTGAATCCAGGCTGCTGCACGGAGAAGAAAGGCGAGTGCAGCCTTGCATACAAAAATACCTCTATTGCTCACTCCGCTGTCCGTGGCCCTCGCCTGCCCGCAGCCCACATGGGCTCCCGGCTGCCTCGCGGTGCCGGACCTGGCACCTGCAGCCGGTGGCACGGCTGAGCCACAGCCCGTTGCCCGGTGCTACGGGAAGCAGAGCCACAGGGCTGCCCCCGCCGCCGGCAGACAGGCTGCCGCATCCCTGCTCCGGGCCCCCTCCGTCCCTCCGTCCCCGTCAGGACTCCAGGTCGTGGGAGAGCCGCAGCAGCTCCTTCTGGCTGTCGATGGCTTTCAGGTGCTGCAGGTACGCCCAGGTGGAAACGGGACTCCGCACGCTCAGGGACTGCTCCGAGCCTGCCAGGGAGAACTGAGATCAGGACTCCTGCCTCTGGCTGGGCTCACCAATTCCCCCTCCGGCTCAGCTTGCCAACCCTCTCCCTCAGCGCTGGCTCGTCTCATGGATCCCTCTTCACTGCCTCTCGCCTGACTCACTGATCCGCTTCCACTGCTGCTGGCTCGGCTCATTGATCCCCTCCATCACCGCTAGCTCAGCTCATCGAACCTCTCTATCATTTCTGGCTTGGCTCATGGATCCCTATCACCTCTTGCTCAGCTCATTGAAATCCCCTCCATCGCCTCTCCCTCGGCTCACGGATCCCCCTCCATCATCTCTCCCTCGGCTCATGGATCCCCTCCATCACATCCAGGAACCCGCTGGAGCTGAAGGAGCAGGAGCAAGTGGGGACGGACTTGCTCCATGGGGCAAAGCGATGCCCCAGCCTGCAGCCAGAGTGCTTCAGACATGCTGGAAGCACTCCGTGACCCTCTTCAGCACGAGGAGTTGCTGCTGACTGGTGCCTCCAGCCAGCAGCGTGCGACCCATGGGTTTGCACCACTCAGGAGAGGGAGCTCAGCCTCCATCCCTGGGTACTCCGAGGCATCAACAGCATCCGGACCAGCTTTCACCCATTGTAGCCAGGCTGAGGCCCTCGGGACGTCCCCGCGGGATCCCCCCCACGAGGACGGTGGGTGCATGCTCCCCTGGGTTGGCCTCGCCCGGCCCCGCGTAGCCCCAAGGGATGGGGGTCTCACGGCGCAGGGGTGGGGGGCAGATGGGTGAGCCCCAGACATACACGTGGAGATTCTGACGCCTTTGGGGTCCTCCGGCCGGTGCGGGGAGCGATTTCGCAGCGGGGAGAGCGGAGCTGGGTGCGGACAGAGACCAGGAGCTCAGCCCCATCCCCAAAGGAGCGCTGGTCCCTGGCCCCGTCCTCGCCCCCAGCCGGGAGCACTCACCATGCGCGTCGCCCCGGCAGCGCTGCAGGACACGCACGGTCTTTGCCATCATGTGCTGTGGGCAATGCACAAAAGGTCACTTGCTGTCACCTGGCCCCACTTTGCTCCCAGGCTGGTAAAACACAGTCCCCTCCGGCTTCAGCGGTGACTGCGGCTGCCCCGTGTCCCCCGCGAGGGGACGGCCAGGGGTCCTGGCTGCGGGGGGGGTGGGGGGCTGCGCTAATG